TGGAAAGATGCAAGGGTTCATGGGATCTTTTTATGGGTTCGAAATAACGAAACGGTGGTAGGTCTTCAATATCATTTCTTTCATTTTTGATCTTTGTTGTTTCTCTAATGAAGTTCCTAATCTATAATAGAGACAACAAATGGAAATTTTAGCACGTAATCATTATATGTCAAAAGAAGATAGAGATCCGATCGAATGCTCGCTTTTTTATATGGCTCTGAGGAAACGTAAGCTCTTGTTGGGACTATGGAGAACAGCAAATGGTCACAAAGAACAAGCCGCTATGTTAAAGTTCTTGGCGAATAATTTTGACGAACAAAGATGGAAAACTGCTGCTTTAAAAAATGCATACGCATTGTTGGGAAAACAAAGATATGGTGGGGTCAATTCTCCGTTCGGATTTTACGAAATCGGTTATATCCGATACTCATAATGAATATTTTGTAGAGTACGCGGCTGCCTTCTTCCTTTTGGGAGATAGATTGAGAGACGCTGTGAATGTTTGCTTGAAACATTTGGACGACTTTCAGTTGGCAATCGCGATATGCCGTGTCTACGAAGGTAATTAATAGTTATTGCTTTAGAGCATCAAACGTTACTTTTCCGTCCACTTACGACACGAGTGACTATTGTTCACAGGTGATGAAGGGCTTGTTTTGAAGAGTATATTTGAAGAACATATAATTCCTCTAGCTATAAAAACAGGAGATCGTTGGTTAGCCAGTTTGTCCTTCTGGTTCTTGAACCAAAGGGATCGCGCGGTTAAGGCCATAATGGTTTGTACAATTTCATTCGTGCACCAATCGATTATGCAATGTAATTATCTTACATTATATGGTCGTGCAGGTACCCTTAGAGACTCTCTGTGATAATTCCATGATACAGTCACCCTCTCCGACGCCTACCGAGTCACCAGACGCAGCCCTCATAGTTCTTTACAAACAACTTAAAGAAAAATCAATTCAGACTCTTCGTGGTGCATCCGAGATATCTCCAGAAACCGAATACTTTTTCGTGTTGCGTAGCATTTTTGCTTATGATCGGATGGGCTGTCCATTATTGGCCTTACACCTTGCCAAAACCTGGAGATTTACTCATGAATCGATATCAAAAAATCCAGATCGTATTTTGAAGTCTCGACGTAGAACAACGATATTCGATATACCATTATTGAATCATGACACTAGAATATCAAGTGGATTTGTAAATTTCAATAATTGGAGCTGGAATAATGATAATGATTCAACGTCTCCAATCTCGGCTGGTGGAAGAAACAGGGCTAGTGATTTGTTTGCTGACGAACCTTCATCTTATTTTAACGCATACAATAATTCTCCAACAACGACTTCATTTAATAATGATGCAGATAGTGCTGAAATTATTTCTGGTGACTCTTGGGGATGGAATTCACCGAAATCTGATATCTCTGCCAATCAAAATTTCAACTCTCGTGTTTTTTCACCCGGAGACGATTCTTCAAGCGTAAATACTACAGGTGATTTTTGGAGTAGTAATACGGAGAGTACTACTCTATTGGAAGATATCGATTTCGACGACTGTAAAGCCGATCTTGTTAAACGTTCACTACAAGTAAGCCTATAAATTTTGTGTATTTCCGTCGCCATTAATGTCTCATTGTTTTATCTATGATAGCATCTTTTGGACGCGGTAACAATTGCCTTTGAAAATTCAAAACTATTCGTGAGCAACCCATATTACAGTAATTATATTGACAGAATCAAAGACGGATTGAAAAGTGTCTGTCAAAGTGTGAGAGTCCCACTATCTGACGTTCAGGAATTAATTTTATTATATCCTTTAATATGTGTTATTTCCTTATTTTTTTCTCGTTGCTTTGTTTATTATCTTTGACAATTCTTTAATCTTCACAAGGTGTTTGGAAACCGATTCCATCGAACTTTTAAAATATTTTCAGTCACATCCATTGAATGAGATTTAACGCATTCACATTATATATGCATCACATGATCAAATATACTTAATAATAAAGTTGTATTAAACTAAAGTCATATTTGCCTATTTTGATACGACGCGTAGTATATATAATCATTTTGGGCAATGTGTATGTACGCATCTTGACATGAACATGAATAGAAACGAACGCGACAAACAGATCAATAGGCGTTTATTAGGATTGAGTTTGGTAATAATGAGAGTGGCTGAAATGGTTAAAGATATTACCCGATCTCTCATATACCTTCCCCTAAAATTGTAAAGGGTTGTACGCGGATGCAAATCGAAGGTTATACTCCACTTGCTAGTGCTGTTCATGGGAGCACCGTAAACGTGATTGGCGTAATAAAATCGTTTAAACAAAAAAGAAAGTGTAATGGTTCAAGTAGAGTATTAAAAAATAAGTAATATTTAAACAATATTGTACTGTCAATTTACTTATACACAGTTTACATTACATAATAGCTGATTGGCATTGTTCTTTTATGGTGGTCGATCAATCGTTGCCCGACATTGAAAGGGGAATATCTGTCAGTCTGTTTCGAGCTCATAACGAAGATTTGCCAGACATACAATGTCCGGGAAGTATATTTGTGGGGGTCAAGTTGAAGGTAGGATAATCAGAACTAGGAATAAACTGGAGAAATCAAGTCAAGCTTCTTAATTTGTTCTTCGCCTTCGTCGAAAAGGTTGATAAGTTCTATGATGCACTACAACTTATTTCCTACAAGAATGAATCAACGTGCTTAGTGTTTAAAGAGAAAATTGAAGAGAGAATGCTTTCATGTGCAATGAAGCTTAGAAGCGAAGAAATAATCAATTATGCAATAATGTTGCAAAAATGGTGGATCAATAAGATTGGACTTCACGGTGATGGTGGTGGTAATAATAATCAGCTTCACCATAAAGTACGACAACGACTTAAAATACGTGAGCTCGAGAAAAATGTATTCTGTGATTTAGTCGCCGAGGTATGTCACGCCATGTGTCTTCTGTAAGAAAGTAAAGACTAAAAAAGATTGTTATCAGATATTAAAGATCGAAGATAAAGATTCAACGACGGAATTATATATAACTGATTACACAGAGAACAAATACCTTAATGCTTCGTCGAAGCATATATTGCAAGTATCTCTATGGGACGAAAATCGTCTTGAAGGTCAAAGCCTTCGAGTCGGTATGATGGTCTTACTTCAAAATGTTCGCGCCAAAGTTAATAATTATAACACGTTCCAAGCGGTTATGCATGGGGACCCAGGCACAAGAAGATCCAGAATAACCGTGTTGAACTCTTCATGCCCTGAGGTGGAGGAATTACTCAAGTAAATGAAACATATTGTATATTGAAGTATATTTATCACAACTTCTGTATAAGTAATTTTTAATGATGTTTGATTCAGATGGAAATTTCAATTCACGAAAACTCAACAAACTATTTGTGCGCCTGCAACGCAAATCGATAACAACCTGACAAGTATATCAAAGAGATAATAATTATTGCTCAACGTGATTTGGTAAATATAATCAGACATGATCAGGTCTTCTAACAAAATTTTATTATTATTATTATTATTATTTAAAAAAAAAGAAGTGGTAAACTGTCAGGTTACTTCTATCACTTCTATAACTGATATTCTTAAAGTGCAGGTGAGACATGATATTATTTTATTATTACTAAGAGTAAAAATTGATTGGTTTCTTGATGATTCCAGAAAATAAACAAGTATCGCACCCGAGGCAAGATCGTAAGCTTTTTGCCGTTAAATTTTAAGAATTTCATAAGACCATTCTGTCGTATATGTAGCACTATGTAAGTTATATGCAATTCTTAACTGTCTTTGTCATCAATTAATGAAATTACTGTTCGTTATCTCTTAGTTTGTTTGAATGCAAATCAGAGGCCGAGATCGTTAAATGTCCGACATGTTTAAATAATGTGAAGTACATCTACGACTTCTGGTTATTGTTCAGAAGCGAGGATGATGTGTCAACCATCCAGGTGAATGTGGGCGGAAAACATGCAGTATGTATTTATAATTAAATTACTTTTATTCCAATCTAAATTTGATATTAATTTTTTCTCGATGTGTATTTTACAAATCAGATCAACTTTTTGAAGGGATTGAAACCTGGCATGTATGTGTTCATGAATATTACTTATGAATTGTTTAATTTCCCGCAATTACAAAATTTTCAATTCACAGGGCAAAGAAAAGAACTGAAACTTATAAGAAATTTGAGGAATCATTAAGAAAATTATTGAGGAATCTACTAAAAAATGATGATACAACTAAATTGATTGACTTTTGCATTGAGTCGTATATAGATAGGGTAACCGATGGAAACCCAATGACTTATCATTTAATAAATACGGTATTAATATAACTGCTTGTCATTTAAAAGTAAGTGTATTACAGATTACCCTCTAGTCATGATTTACGCAACGAACAGAATAAAAACGAATTTATTACTGAACTTAGTTAAATAAAATTTTATGATATATGGTATATAACGAGAAAAAAACAATAAAGTTTTGGTGTTATATAAATATCTAGCGAATTCTAATTATTAATATCTTAATATTTTTCTATTTTGCGACTAAGTTATCTTTATGTATTTATTAATAGAGTTTCAAGTCAATTGTTTTCAAACAGTTTAAATCAAAATTGCTATTTCTAATTGTATTTAACTTTTAATAATAAAGAAATGTAAATTTAAATTTATTGTTATTTTTTGGTAATTTTAATAATTTTTTTTTAAAGAATAGAGACAGTTATTAACCAGACCTTTATTTATAAGGGATTACTTTTTGGCAATATTACAAATATGAAGGTTAACATACATCTTTCTTTACAAAGAAGAGTCTAATACAGGACTCAAAAAAATGGTTCACTTATCCTAGCTCTTTTTTTTCAATAATTATTCAAGCAGTAGCAAAAAGATTTTCAAAATCTATACATTTCAAGTGATGTCCATAGAGAACTAGGGAATTTGTAATATCCAATTACATAAAGGCACTGCAATCAAGTATATAGATTTGTCTCCAAGTTATAAATAGAATTTGGCATACTTGTTTTCCAAAGTTGATTTGATGTACAGCAGACAGAATGGAAGAAAAAAAAGTTAGTTTTTTATACATAAAGGTACTATAGTTACTTTTTATAAATTAGTCTTCAAGTTATATAAAGAGTTTGGCATATTCCTTTTTCAAGTGTAATAAGAGTGTCTGATAAATAGAGTTGTGTTAAAATTTCTTAAAGACATTGTTATCTAATTATATACATAAACTTATATTGTTAAAAAGTAAATGAGAAACTTCTGTTATTAACATCAATTCTGTTTGTAAGAATAACTAGAATTTCTGATCATTACATATTATCCTACTAGATATTTCAAATACCAACATATTAATTTTGACTATTATTTAATTAAAAACTATAGAGTACAACTTCTTAAGAGTTTGAATAACAATAGCTATATAGAACTTCTTAGATATATCTAATTTAATTATTAACAAATAACAATGCAAAATATAATAATAATGATTATGCTGATTTTTTGAAAAGGATAAACTATCTGTTTTTTTTTTAAAAAATTATGAAAGCAAAAAATTTCCTAAAGTTCATAACATAAGAAAAGTTATTACTTTTTAATATAGTTTTTGAAAGAAAGAAGTCAGCTAATCCAAGGAATGATGAAATAGAGAGCAGCAGTTTTAAGAGAAAGAGAAATCTAAAGAAAAAAAACTTTAAAAAGAAGATATAAAAACCAACTTCAATAGATAGAGGGAAAAAGAAAAGAGAAAGGAGAATATAATAATAATAAGATTTGTAAAAATAAAGAAAAAATAAAGATGGAAAAAAAATAATAGAAAAAAATAGTATTAAGAAAAAAGAAAAGGCAAAGAAAAAAGAAATAGCTTAAAAATTTTTTTAAAAAAAAATTTTCAAATATAGAATAATTTTTTTATATTTGTATTTATTTTATTATTATAATTTTTTTTTAAATGCTAGTATAAATTTTGTTTAACAAACTTTTATTAATATTAATATTTATATATATTGTTATATATTGTTATATATAAACTATATGATAATATTAATTAACTTAAGTATATTAAACTATATTAAGATTTCTTCAGATATTAGTTATTGCTATTAACTTTTTTTATTGAATAGAGATTAATACAAATGTATCAAAGCCTTATTTATTTGCAATGTTACTAGTATATAAGTTTTATTTCAAACTATATAATATTTTAAAGAGAAGTTTGAAAGGTAAAAAACTGGAAATAATACTTTTTTTAACAAATAAAATTTCTATAAAGAGATATTCAAGACTTGATTACCTGCAGTTAAGCAAACCATTTAGTTTCTATTTTTCCTAAAGCTATTCAAGAATGTTTAAGTTACTTATAACTATAAATTTATAACTTATTCTTTAAATTGTAATATAGACAAATTTGCCTACATATTTAAAAATTTAATAAGTTTTTAAAAATTTTTAATAAAATTTTAAATATTGATTTTTATAACTTATTTATATTATAAAAAATATAGTTTAAAATATTCTTTATTAACTTTATTAAGTAAAAAAACAAAATTTTATTGAAAATTTTCAAAATAAATAATTTTAAACTTTGTGTTTAAAATTTTAATATAAAAAATTATATAAA